GTGGATGTTCTCTGTCTCTGTCTCTATGTCTGTCTCTCCCTCTCTCATGCACACACCCTCCTGACAATTAAAAAATTTGAAGTTGTGTGGATCACTGAAATTGTTGACTAGTTCAGCCCAGGATGTTTTTAAGAGCCTAATGATGGATTATCCTTCGGAAAATTGGTTTGTTTAATCCTTACAGATAGATTTTTTTTCCAATTAAAAGGAAACTACAATTTCAAAATGTATTATTTCCTTAGAAACTTCCTCATTCTGTGAATCTCTATGTGATATTTGCTCCAAAATAATCTCATGAACACACTGCAGTTTCATCCTGAGGCATGTGAAATTGCACCTTCCCAGGGAGAGAGTAAATATGACAGAACAGGCTGTAAGTTTTCTCAACAGTAGGTACACAAACAGTTAAGGACATTTGCCTTGGCCGAAGGGATTTCCATGGGTCTTAATTTTATGCCAATTCCTATCTACCCACTCCACTGTTCCATTCCTGCCTCTGGGCTGACCAAATGTCAGGGAGGTTTCCAGACCATGGGACTTTCAGTTCAGGAAGCTTTCAGGCAAAAACTAGGGTAAGTTTGGTCAACCTAATCAGAAAGGTTCTTGTAAAAGTCCCCACCTAGTCCCCACAGTACACTAACTGCATGCAGAGTACTAGTAACACCTTCAGTAACTTGCACACACCTCTGTTATGGTCCTCACCACCCAGGTGATTGTTTACAGATCTGGTCTCTGTGACTGGTGCACAGCAGTTGGCAGGTAAATACTCAGACAGACAGACAGGTAGGTAACTGGACTCTGCCCTGCAGAAAACTAGATCCTGGGCCATGGGCTTTGGCATATGGAGAGCTCTGCTTTGCTTATCAGAAAGAGAAGTAACAGACTGGGGTTGATTATATATATGTATTTTGCTTCAAGACTTTTTTCAGCACCAGTTGATTTCCTTCTGTCACCCTGAGTCACTGCTCAACAACAAAGTCCCCAAAGACCAAGCCCAATTTTTAGAAGGCAGACTCAACTTTTCTGCAAAGTGGCTAGGTCTGTGTGACAAGGACCTTAAAATTTAAAACATCAAAAGGGCTAGCTCTGTGGTACAGTGGTAATGCCCTGCTCAAGAAGCTAGATCCCAGATTCAGGGGACCATGGTTCAAGTTCTTGGCCCAGTCACCCTGAAACACATCAGCACTCACACAAGCGCCCAAAATCCTATGGGCTAGAAGACTGGAGAGGAGGATTGTGGTGTACACAGACCCCGTAGAAGATGCTCATATCTCTATGTCTCTCTCTCTCACTTTCTCTCTCTCACACAAGTGCACGCACGTGCTCTATAATTAATTTTAAAATACTTTTAAGTATACAAAGAAACACAACTCAATAAAACTCATATGTAGAAGAAACAGTGTAAAATAAGCACAAGAAAAGACTGAAAAGAAATGATACATTCTTAGAAGAGGTGTTTGGATTTGGTAAAGCAGATGTTGGTGACAAGGTCTGAGGCAATAGAGATATGCAGAACCCAAGAACAAAATGCTCTGGACACCCACTCAGAGTCGGTGGCAGTTTAATCAGCGTAAGAGAGCCATCTTTGTAGAGTCAAATGGACCAGGTTCTATGTCCAGCCTACTGTGAGTACAGAGTACCCAGCAGAGCCTCAGCACACGGTAAACAGCTACTGGTAGCCAGTGCTGACTGAAGTACTCGTGACGTGTTACTCCTAAGATCTGCGAAGAAGATTCTAGATCCCTCTCACAGTCTTTTCTTGATTCAACACTGTCGATTCCTTTAAGTTTTTTTCAAATTGTTAGTGACTGCTAGTTTTTTATAAAATGGAAATTAGACCTGCTCCCTTATGAGGATTTAAGATGTTTACCAGGTAGTTGTAGTTCACGGTCCTCCTCAGTACTGGAATGAGATAGGCACAGGCATGGTCTTTGCTAAGAATCATAAGCTAACAGGGCTATGGGAACAGAGGGGAAGAAATTATTTTTGCTAGTCTTTGGACCATACACTCAACAAAATTAGGAGACCAACTATAGGTTTTTGCCATAGGGTGGGTGCCACCACACTCTAGGAGACCAACTATACTTCTTGGAGACCTTAAACTCCGTGCTTTGCCAGACCAAATCCTGTAGTTCACAAGTATTCCAAGGAAAAAGGTCCATCAGATGGACCAGAACCAGCCACGGACACTGCAGGTAAAGATGACCAGATCATTTCTAGAAGACTTTGGCAGTCACTACAGAACTCCAAAGGGACTAGATTAAAAGTAATGAATGACAAGATAAACTCTCCCCCCCTTATCCAGCACCCTTGGCTTGTTTGAAGCAGCTTTATACTTGCTTTTTGGGCCTAAACTGCCAGGCCTAGCCCTCTCTGCAGGCCTACGCGGATAACTACCTTGCCAAGTACGTGAGAACCTGTCACCAAGCTATCACTCTTCTCTTTAACTCTGGTGAAACCCTTAATGTTTCACAGATTCACTTACAAGCAGAGATTCTAGTTACCACTGCTGCTTCTCCTTGTTGAAAGTATCCAGCCTTAGGGTCGGCCAGTGGCGTAGCAGATAAAGATGCTGGATTCCCACATGGCTGACCACAGTTTGAGTCCAAGATCTAGTGGCTTGCTTTCTCCCCTTCCCTCTGTCTCTCTGGTCAAATTAATAATAACAGAATTAAATAAATAAATCTTTAAAAAATGAAAGTACCCAGCCCTGCTCCAGCTCATCCACTGAGTGACCCGTCTATACCTGAGAACATGCTCCCTAAGGTTGTATAACAGATAAGGGGTGGCCACTTCCACCATGGGTGTCTTTCACAATATCGATGGACAGCAGAAGACAAGGTTTTCCTGAGGAACTAAGTTGGTCATTAAAAAAAAAAAAAAAGCAGGGGGCCAGCACATGGAGTAATGGTTATGTCACTGGACTGCCACATGGCGACCGCAGTTCTAGTCCCGGACCCAGTGGCTTGAAACTCATGCTGGGTATGTGTGCATGTGTGCCCAAGATCCCAGGAGGAGGATGGAAGAGAAAGGACTGCAGCATGGCCAGCACTCCAGTGATTGCTTTCTCAACTTCCTTCTCACTGTCTCTGTCTCTCTTTCTCTCTGGAGCGTACACAGCACCCTAAGGCAAAAACCTTTACCAAAAAAAAAAAGGGCGGCAGCAGCAGGAGTGTTGTGTAGACGACAGCCATGGATTTCAGCACTGAGAGGAGGGAGAGTGGAGACTTCCGGACTGTGACCCTAGTCATGCCAGAAATGTGGATACAACAGCTGCCTCAAGAGCCCGGTTTTCTCATCATACAAATTAAAAGACAAGGACTGGATCATCTGAGATTCCTCTGGGCAATAAACAGTTGATTCCTGCCAAGGATGCAGTCCTGTCAAGCAAATCCAAGGCTAAAAAATCCTAAATAACAACCTCAAATTCACAGTGACTCAAATCAGGAGTTCCTGTTTACTGTGTTTGGACAGTGAAATGATAAGCCACAGAAATGACCCTGCAAAGCCTTACATTTACACCAGAATCTTGAGCCATGGGTACAGCAAAAAAAAGGAGGCGATTCCTCTCACAGCTGTGACTTTTCCCTCAAAATACACAGGACTCTATGGTGGGGAGGTTTCTGCTTGGCCACAGCTAGTCACCCAGACAAGTCCAGAAAACCTGCTCAGTATCACTCCCAAACTTGAACCTCAGATTTAAGACCTGGAGAGGAAACAGATCTGGAGGAGCTGAATTAGAAACTGGCTCCAGAATAAATACTAAAAGCAAGAGGGGGAAAAAAGTAATAGTAATTTACTTGATTCTAGACAAAAATAATTCGACCATATTGAAAGCAAGGCAAGTCAGCCTAGTAAGAATGGACCCGCCCCTGAAACCTGCTTGGGGCTTCTCCTTTCCGTGTACTCCCAGAGCAGGTATTCAGGGCAAAAAACGCACAATGCGACCCAAGTGCGTCACGCCACAGAGATCCTAAGGGAGGAAGGGAGTTGTCTCGGCGGGTCCACTGCCCCCAACTGACCCGAACAGGGAAAATGGACTGACATGGATCCCTGGTTGGACAATAGGGCCATCAGAAGGAAATGACAGGAGGAGGAGGAGGATGAGCCCAGACACCAGGAATATGGGCAGGAGAGGACAGATGGAGAACTGGAAAAGGCGAGCAGAGAAGGGGGCGTGGATCGACTCTGGCCCTGGAGAAGGAATGCCCCAGATACAAGCAGACATCCACATCCAGCTTGCAGGCGCTTAGGCTCCTGGGGACAGTCCCTCCCGCCCGCCGGCCCTCC